AAAAACATCAACGGCAAAAGAAATAGCATCAAGAGAACATTCAAATACGCACTTCCTGATTCAAGCTCCACCACCAACTATTTTGTAAAGCATGTACACTGATGACGCCAGAGAAAGACACGAGAAGTTTATGACTTTCAGATGAAGACCTGCTGTCTTCAACGAGCTAATGGGAAAGTACAGAGAAGATGAAGTGAAAATCAGAACAACTGCCTTCAATAAGATGATCTACAGAGGTCTCTGCCAAACCCCTGCTCAAGTAGGGTCACCCACAGCAGGCTGCCCAGGACCATATCCAGTCAGCTTTTCAAACCCCTCCACGGACAGAGGCTCCACAACCTCTCTAAGTAACCTGTGGCAGTATCTAACCACCCTCAAAGTGTTTCCTGATGTTCAAATGGAATTTTCTGGTTTTCAATTTGCGCCCATTGCCTCTTGTCCTGCCAGTGGGCACTACTGACAAACATCTGGGTCCCTCCTCTTCATTCCCTCCCTTCAGATGTTTATACACATTGATGAGATCCCTCTGAGCCTCCTCTTCTCCAGGCTGAACAGTCCTAGCTCTCTCAGGCTCTCCTCCTATGAAAGATGCTTCACTCCCTTAATCATCTTTGTGGCTTTTTGCTGGCCTCACTCCACTAAGTCCACATTTTCCTTGTGCAGGGGAGCCCAGCACTGGACACAGTACTCCAAAGGTGGTCTGAATAGAAAGGAAGGATGACCTCCCTCCATCAGCTGGCAACACAATTCCTAACGCAGCCCAGGATGCTGGGCGGCCTCTGCCACGAGGATGTATCACTGGTTCATGGTCACCTTGTTGTCCATCAGGACCTCCTTCTCTGCAGAGCTGCTTTCCAGCTGGTCAGCCCCCAGCACACGCTGCTGCATGGAGCTGTTCCTCCCCACATGCGAGGCTTTACATTTTCGCTTCTTGAATTTCATCATCTCTCAGTTCTCCAGCCCATTCAGGTCTCTCTGGATGGCAGCACACCCATCAGGAGCATCAGCCACTCCTCCCAGTTTTGTATCACCTGTGAACTTGCTGAAGGTGCACTCTGTCCCATCCTCCAAGTCATTAATGAAGATGTTAAACAGTGTCGGCCTCAGTACTGATCCCTGGGGTAGCCCACTAGTCACTGGCTTCCAACTGGACTTTGTCACCACAGTACCTCCAAGCTGCGGTACGCACAAGCCTACCAATCCAATTTTGAGACTGGAAGGTAAACAGTAGCATCAACTCACGTCATGACCCATTCCCTCCTCCTTCCAGCTATTTCTGAATTTGAGGTAAGTGTACAAACAGTGCCTCAGCATCCTCTAAACAATAATTCTAAACAAACGCAATGTAAAGGCTAGTCCTTTTATCAAATCAGGAACTATTTGGAGAGTTTTTTTGAGAGAAGGTTGTTGGGTATTTTGTTTGGGTTTTTTTGGGGCGGGTTGCTTGTTTTTTTGTTTTAAATAACTTCTTTTTTCCTGTCAAATTAACTATTTAGGACCTTTTCACAAGCATTCCTGGTCTCAGCCTCTTCTCAAGTTCAACACTTCCTCCTACCACAGACCTTTAATCTTTATCTAATCGCCTGTGTCTATCAAATATCTGGATTTAAAGAAAAAGTTTAAAGTTGGTTGGAGGGGAAAAAAAAAAACAACAAACCACAACCCCAAACAGCTGGAGACCTCCCTTAGTATAGCAGCCTGGAGGACTTCCAGAATATCTTGGAAAAATATTGCTACATGGACACAAACGCAGAGGAAGTTCAAGAATGAAAGTGAAAGACAGCAAACCGTTCAGAGAAGAAGAAATTGGAAGGACTTTTACCTCAGACATGGAACTGTCTTAGGAGAGAGGGACAGTGTTTCCTTATTCAAGCAAGTATTGGTTCCACAAGGCATTTTATCTACAAGAGAAGAGCATGAGCCATCAGTAACTATAAAAGGAAACTGAAGACTTTTATGAGTTTACAGTAAAGAGCTTCACCAAAGATAAACTATTTTCATTCTCTCTCTTACATCATATTATTATTTGTGTTATGTTACTTTAGGATATTTTCAGATTTTCACATTGGCAACTACAGAAAGCTGTGCACACAAGGTATTGTCAGCCTAAACCTGAAATAAAAAAAGGGTTTTGGTATCTACTCCCTAAAATTATCATTTAAAACAATTTACTTCCGGCAAGCTAACAGTGGACACATCAGAACTGAAGGACTGCATCCAAGGCAGCTCTTGTACTGAGACGACAAGATAAACGCCTGTCCCCAATTCAGAAGCAGTGCCAGGATGCAGGGAAGAAACAGAGCTCACGCTCAACTATTCTTAGGTGCTACCTCGATATTGTGCCTTCAATAATCTGTACATAAGCCTAGGGGTAGTGTTGCGCAGTACATAAGGTAGGGTGAAAAAGAAACGAGTTAATAACTTGATGTCAGTCTTACCAACTCGTAGCATTTCTACTTCTAGTGCAGAACCTGTTGGTCTTTTAGATGAAGGGTCAGAAGAAGTGGACTGAGTCTTAAATAAAAACAAAAGAAGTACCAACGTGAATATAACCTGAATGTGAATCCAAGGAAATATAACCTTCCTGAAATTTAGTCAGCTCTATGATGACTTGGGGACCATGATTTGCTGCCTTAGATTGCAGCAGAGTGCAAATCTTCGCAGGAGCTCTGGCAAGCACACTTTAATTTTTTAAAACAGGCTTTCATATGCGCAGCGATTAAAACAATACAAGCTTATCACTGAGTTCTCCTCGTCAGCTCCTAAACATTCCAAAGTGTGATAGTCTAGTCCTTGAAAAATACATTTTGTACAAATAAGAGTTAATGACTCTCTCAGGAACAAATAGTAGAGCACGACAGTTTCTTATTCCGGTTATCCCATGGGGCAATAAGACAAGTAACACTACACCTTTGAACCAAACTAGGGAGTCAAGCAGTTCATGACTCATTTTTACAGAGCCAAAGTCCTACAGGAATCCTCTCCTGGATAAGAAACCTAGCAGAAAGAGGTTGATCCAGAGGAAGTACACAGTTTTTCTGGTACTGTAGTGTATTTTGACTCCTTAACTACAAACTTGAGAGTAACAGTTTACAAACATACTTTACAATTGTTCAAGTTTATGGTTGTAGTATCTGGAAGACAACAAATGTTTAGCTCCTTCCTCAGCCAAAAGTGCTAGAGGAGAGTACGCAAACTTGACTAGGGCAAATCCAGCAAACAAGAGCTGCCTGCTTTAAATGGAAAAGAATCACCTACTGCTGTAGAAGCTCAGAGCAAGCCCAACTTTGAGAGTCGCTTCCTCTTTCATCTCGCACAGATTTTACCTATTTTCAAAACCCTTGCTAACCTCTTCTGCAGCCTCTGTAATTGGAGCGGCATGGCTGACTGAAGCCTTCTGGCATTCACTTGTTGCCTTGGCTGGCAACTTCACCACAGGAGAAACTTCTTCAACTTTCTCTTTATGCTCAGAGATGGTGTAGTCTAAACAACCAAAGACAAGGCATATAAGAACATGATTTAAAAGGGGATTAGGATTTCTATTTGCATTAAAGCCCACCTCCTTAATCCCACCTAAACCAGTGTAATTCATTTCAAGTTACACATCCTTCTACCACCAGCAGTTGATAGCGATTTTTGTATTAGTCGGTTCACCGAGTCGGAGCTCAAAGACTAACCAGCAAAGATTGGCAAAAACACCCTGCTTTTGGGAACATTCCCTGTTTCTGGAGAAGCCGCACAGGGTGCAATTTATCCTTCTCATCCCCTCCATACCTGCATATTGTAGTTTATTACATGTCACTCTTGTCTAGTTGAGAGTAGCTGTTCGCTGAGGTCTAGAAACCAAAGCTACCCAAGCCTGCTCTTTTCAATCTTAAAGAAGCAGAGACATGCAACTCCTCAGACAGTATTTCCAAACATCGATGAGTCTGGGCTGTCTAATAAGGGGCTGTGTTAGAGAGTAAATCATATTGGACAACAGCATTTGTTTGAAGATGAGACTGACATTCTAGCAGACAAGGGCATAGATGGTACCATGTTCCTAGAAGCAGATTTGGCCTACTTACTAAGAATTGTTCCTACCAAGAGTTGGTCATGCTGCCAAAAGGAAAAGGGATAGGGGAGCAAGATATCAATTTGACATATTTTTCAATTGTTTTATGCTCTTAAGCCTGAAAAGCACACTAAGAGTTCAGCAGCCCCTACCACTAAACAAGGGGCAGCATTGTCTGCCAAGCAGTAAGTAGGAAGCTCCACATCTCCCTGTTGAACTTGTGCTAGGAAATGTCATACAGCCTAAAGAGCATCATTTGTCCCTCTCTATCAGTAAAGATGGAAAAGGGAAATGTCCATCTCAAATCAGGAGCGATGCAGCTGGCATCCAGAGGCACCGACACAGCCGCAGGCAGCTGCATAATTTTACTCTCAAACACTTTGTGGAGGAGGTATCAGAGAAAGCCTCACTGAAGAGAGCACTTCCCCACCTCGCTGTCCTCTCCTATGCTGAGCCTCTGCTGCATCTCCATCCTTCTTTACTCAATCTTCCTCTTATCTTTTTTCAAAATGCACATGCTAAAATTTTCAGATTCAGACTAAACTGACTCTTCTGTTTTCAATTCAGCTTTCCACCCCCTCCCACCCCAAACCCACTAGCTCACAGAAATACCATTTTTCTCTGCCTGCCATCAGTTTAAAGTTACTTTGCCTCACATCCCAAATTCTAAGTGATTTCTCATAAGATATACGGCTAATTTGAACTGACAGAGGTACACTGTGAATACAGGTAGGAGGGAGCACACAGCTTTGAATGAAAAGACACTTTCTGCTGACATGCAGGGGCTCATCCATCAGAGAGACCTGGGATATCTCCTGCTGGCAGTAGAAGTACTGTGCCCTGCCACAGTTAACACTGAGTAGGTCATATATAGGGCGAGGACCTGCGATACACCCTCAGGCCACTGGCGACACAGACGGCCACAAGGAAAGAACGGTTTGAAAAACCACAGTTTCAGTAACAATGCTGAAGTGCAAAAGCCGGAGTTTTCTAAGGTACATGAAACCTAAGAAAAATCAGGCATATTACAATGTAATTGTAATGTGCAATACCTGATTTTGGCTTTTTTGGTGGAATCTCCTCACGAACTTCCACAGGTGGCCAAACGCTGCGGAAAGAACACACAGAACAGTGTTTTGCAACCACAGGTAAGCTTTTAACAGGCTGACCTACCTTCACAGGGCTCAAACTTCCAAAGTTAGTTTTCATATCCCAAAAGTCTCCCCCTCCAAGCACCACTGGGATCATCTCCGACACACACATCCATCTCAACATCTCCCACCTCTCCCAGTCAACAGACTGCTCACAGAGCACTAATTATCCCACTAAAGAATATTAGGCCTCTTTTTCTCGTTCTGTTAACGCCTCCTAATGTTTTACATTTATCCTATCAACAATATGTAAAGTTTTCCTCTTTCCTCAAGGGAAGAAGCATACCAGAGATTACCAAGCCATCTAAGTTTACAAGTCACGACGCTGAGTTGCAAAGAAAAGTCTAAGTAGGACAGGAAATAAAAGGTGGGAAAGCAACTCATGCATACACCCACCTAATTAACTCACTGCTAAATCAGTGCTCGTGAACGAGTTCTTGAAATAATTCTTAGCTGTACCCTTTCTTACGAAGGATAAGGCCAAGTGTTATACCAATTGATACAATGATAAAGTCCAGAAAAGTTTGGGAACAGAGCACGAAGGTTGTTCCTAATTTTTTTTTTTTTCTATTTGCCTCCAAAAATGCCATGACAGACGGCAAGGATTCTTTGAAGAATTCTTTGGTCCTTCTTACACAAAATAATTTCTTTTAAATTGTTATGCCCCAGAACCCTGCTGGTATCATCTCTTCTAGATTATCTTCCATCTGTATCAGGAACACAAAAAGTAGCTGATATCCTTACCTGCACCTTTCATACAACAGAAAGAATATTTGCTATTACTATGCAATTCAAGTCAGGCAGAAAATATTGCTGGGTAGCTGTTAAATGCAAATCTATTCCTATAAAAATGCATTCTTACTCAGTATATTTGATATTTCAGAAGGTAAAACTGAAGAAGGCAGAATATTTGTATCCTCCTGCTCAGTTTTTAGCAAGAGCTACCTCATTCTGAGCTGCTCTTCAGTGAAAACTTTCCAGCATCAGTCTTCCGCAGGGATAAAGCACAATTCAACCTCCTCCAGGCTACGTTCGGAGATAAGCAGAGTTTACATACCTGACCGTGGTTACAATAACTGTTTTGGAACAGAACTGCCTCTTTCTCCAGCTTTAGCAGAGCACCCAACACCTGTGAGAGTGTTGTTTTGTCCTTTTTTACTTTACCAACCACTTAGAGGTTTAGAATTAGTCTGATCACAAGAAAAGATGAATTCTCTCTTGGTAATTCAGACACAAATTGGGAAATCTTTGATGTTCTGAAGTAGGCATGGCCAGGGAACACAGATGGGCAAAAGGCAAGGAAAAAAGAGTCTATGCTCAGCTACCTCTGTCTCCGACAGGAATACACAACCCTGTGAGAAGGTTAAACTGTGTCGCTGCAACTGGGGTTTTGCCAAGGGTCTGGGAGAAACAGGGAAGCGCACAGGGTGTAAGTAATATTTGAAACATGCTGAAAAAATGGGCCAGAAAACAAAAGCAATTTGAGATTGCTCTCCATGTAAAGATGCGTTCATGTCCTTCTCCACACTCTAGAGAAGACAGCACCTATTTACGCCCAGCATTTTACTTGCCTCCTTAGCAACTACAGGAAAAAAAAAAAAAAACATATTAGGAAAACTCAATAACTCCGCATACCCCTATACACGCTCAGGCTCTGCTCTTCTCAAAACTTCCTCATCCGCCAGCGTTGAGGACAGTTCATTAAGATTTGTAATTTAAATTTGTAAAAAATTCAAGTTCTCGCAGGTTAACCCCCCAAAAATCACACACTGCGCTTCAGTGGTACAGTACAAGAGTACCTAATGCTTACCTACTTTCCCTACCAGCTTCACCACCCATGCCCATAATTTTTCATCTTTCTATCACGGGAAAACCTCAAGTGGCGGAAATAACAACCACCCTGTGGTCTAGATTTCCTCGAAAAGACTCACACAGAGGAGCTGGAAACATCTTTGCCGTTTTGCCGCATATCTCAGAGAGCACTGCTGGAAAACTTATTTTAAGCAGTTTTTTAGCTTCTGAAGCCACCTAACACAGTGTCACCTGAATTTCATCCTAACTGCTTCACCCGTCATTCCCAGTGATCTCTTAGCAAAACTGGGTCTCCTGGTCAGACCACGACACGACAGCCTGCAGCACCTACAAAGGCACATTCTTCAGTGTGGGACTGTGCTCTGCACAGCGGCCGTGAACAACTGGTTCTTCCCAGAAAACATTCACTTTTCCCATTCACTCTGGAACACAAGACACTAAGCAGAGCCCCCTGGAACAATAGTTTCTCCCAGAGAGAGCAACCATACTCCCCAAAACATGACATGTAATCCGTATGTTCCCTCTCTTCAGAGGGATAGAAGTGACAGGCACGGAGACAGCTTAGCCATCTGTTACTGGGAGCTCTGGGGCACCAGCAATGGTTAACGCCTGGGAAGACACTCCCCTTTCTTCCACTCCACATACATACCATATCCCCATGCCATGACTTTCCTCCATCCAATATGTCCCTATATGTATATATACTGTTCTCTGCTCCTTCAACACAAGTACTCCAAGCCTCCACCCCTTTCCTTCTTTTCAAACCCCCACTGGGCAGATGGAAAGTTTGCCAACGGACATATCAGGAACATCTGGAACCCACAATCACCTCAGCATCACACGTGAACAACTGTGATGATGGGCACAGGGTGAGCCCCCAGCAGCGTGAGCCAACCACACAGGCCAACAGCCGGGCCAGAAGGAGGAGCGCAGCCTGCTCTGCTTCACCCACTCCCCGGGCAGGCTGGGAAAGGGCAGATGGAAAGTTTGCCAACGGACATATCAGGAACATCTGGAACCCACAATCACCTCAGCATCACACGTGAACAACTGTGATGATGGGCACAGGGTGAGCCCCCAGCAGCGTGAGCCAACCACACAGGCCAACAGCCGGGCCAGAAGGAGGAGCGCAGCCTGCTCTGCTTCACCCACTCCCCGGGCAGGCTGGGAAAGGGCGGTGGATGGCACAGATCTCTCGGGAGCCCACCACGAGCCTTTACCGGCCTTGTGGGCGGGCAGAGGGGCCTAGCCCAGCCCGGGGGCGGGCAGCCGAAATGAGGGGCACCCCAGGGCTGGATACCACGCTGCACCCGAGCTCACGATGCCAACAGAGCGACTAACGCCGCTCCCGCCCTCGGCTCAAAAACCTCAGGTCGCGGAGAGGCGACCGAGGCGCCGGCCTCCGGGCGGGCTCCCGCTTCCGGCAAGCAGGCCCTGGGGGTCCCACAGGCCCCACC